TCACGCGATTGCATGCGCTATACATATTGTTCCTAATATCTATTGCATGTGTGTTAAATAGGCAGTGTTTTACCTATTGTCAGTCTCCAAACACTACAAATAGGCAACAAGCTATCTAAATAATGACAAATCATTCAAACAACAAAATTTAAATGCATAAGTAATCAAGAACACAGTAAATAATTAAATTAAATGAGTCTTAAAATGAAATTAATGCTTAATAAGATTCATCATTCATCTAATACAAGAAAAATTTAGCCAAACATTCTTATAATTAAATTATACAAGAAAAATTGGGAAAAAAATACCCGAAAATAAGAATTAACGAAGAAGTAGGAAATATCCACATTTTTTACTTGAATCTTGAAACTGGGTTATGAATTTTCAAATTTCTTGTATGATTCATCTTGATTTGATGTATAGATTTGTTCTTTGCCTCCAAAATATATAGAATAGGTCGAATGAAGGTTGGGGACATCCTACTCGAGTTTTTTGAATATATATGATGCCAAAAATATTGTTTCCATATAAAATTTCATCAAAAGAAGGAAACCATATTTTTTCCTCTTAATTGTGCCTTACGTCCGCATGGTAGAACTGATTGCAGCAACATGGTAGAACATTAATTCGCACATGTTTCTGTTTTGGAGATGAATGCGACTGCACAAAAATCCTTCCTTGCGGCTGCATAGGCTAAATTTTGGCTCTCGAGCAGTTTTCAGTATTTTTATTATATCTTTCGATTGATGTCATTCAAAGTGCGTTAAAAAAGGTAACTCAAATGGATACAATTCTTATTTATATATCATTTTCTAATTCAAACTTTTGCTATGTCAAAATTGAGTATCAATTCGAGGCAGAAAATTCGGAGCATAAATTTTGCGGCTGAAACTTGATGTGTGATAATAATTTGATTATATGTCATCCATTTGACATCTTTTTTATCCAATCGACCCATAACACTCTTGAATCTTTATCGTGAGGTTCGACGCAATTTTTGAGTATGTTGCAATTTAGTCCCCATACTTTGAATTTCGTCATTTTTCTCTATTTTTAGCTTGTTTTCTTCCATTTTTCATCAAATCACAAGGTTTACCTATTAAACATGCTATATAACAAATTACGTAATATTTTATTAAAAGAACTATAAAATATCATTATTCAAAACCCTGAATAAGTGTAGAAATACATGTATCAACATACAATAAATTCGATAGATTCGCCAAAAAATAAAATAAAATAAAATTATGTAACTAATTTTAAACTTTCCACCAATTTCGTTTTATCAAATAAAATGCTCAAAAAACAATACATTAATTACTAATATATTTTTAGGCTCGCACAAATATGAAACAAAAGCCGAAAAAGACATTGCCTACTGGTACTCGGAATATTCCCAAACTTTATTTACATAAAGATCCCACACTTCCATTTTTCCAATAAAATAATCAACATTATTGGTGCCCACGTCATTAATGACCATGCACCCCTATGTCATTCTTATCCTTATTTTTCAAATTTTGCAATGGATGAAATATATACTTTCTTCTAGCAATAATATTTTCTCTTTAATTTAGTTAATTTATAATATAAAATTGCAGCAATGATTGCCAATCGTTTGAAAAACAATTAAATAGAAAAATAACTATTTATACGCGGCAATAAGTTCACTTTTGATATTTTCAGGTATTTTTACGACGAATAAGGCGATCCGTGAGCTTGGATATTTTACTACCACTTTTTTAGTTTAACCTAATTGAGTCGATTGTATTCATTTATTTATTGTTCGCGTGCAGTGACAATCGGTATTATTGAATAATGAATGTATATGATTTCAAGTATTTGATTAAAACAAGGAGAGAAAAGGAGTAGACAAGGGAGCCTACACAAGGAAGTCTAAGGAAGGTAACGAACAAACTTTATACTTCACTTTATCTCTTATTACTGCCGGTAATTATTAAAATTAGAGTAAATTGCATGTTTAGTGTGCAACCTTTCATGAAACTTGCAATGTTGTCCCCAACCCATCTCTTATCACATTTTGTCTCCAAACTTTAAGAACTTAGCAGACCACGTCCCTCCGCACAGTTTTTCCACCAATTTCAGCCATTATGTCATGTCAGGTGAGCTGCATACGGTTTTATATGAAGGACGAAATCATCCAACCGGTTAAACTCATTAATTTTTTCTTTTTAAGTATATATATGTTCGACTTCTCAATTTCATCCAACCCCTACCTTAGCTACCACAACTGTCACACGCCTTCTTATACGTAGACGTATGCATATATTGGCGAATGTTGTATGTGGGTGTTGTTGGGTCTCAATGGTAGTCTTAGGCTAGTGAGCAAGGGGTGTTTTTTTTTTTATCTATATCTTTTTTAATATTTATTTAATAAAAGACAATCATTTTGTTTATTAAATTGTTGTGTTTAAATTGTTAAGAGATAAAATCTCACATCGAATAAAGATGAAATATAAATCAATTTGTAAGTATTTGGGCCAATTTCGGTAATAAGGTTGAACATTTGAGATAGAATCCCAAGTTTTAATATGGTATCAAAGTTTATTAAATTTTATCGAGCAATTCGATTCGATTAAAATTTTTAAAAAAAGTACATGAATTTCATAAACCAATTTGTAAGAATTTGTATTACTCATCTCAATAAGGTTGATTTTTCAAGATGAAACATAAAATCTTAATAAATTGTTTGTTGTTTCTAATGAGTTTAACTGGCTAGACTATTTTTGCCCTTCGTAAAGAAGCACGTGTTACGTGTAGCTCATCTGGCTCGACTTAACGACTGGAGTGGGTGGAAACCACAAAGAGGATTGGATCTGCTAATTTTTAAAGGTTTGGGAAGAAAATGTGATGAAAAATTGGTTGGGAACAATATCGCATCTTTCATAAAAGATTGGAGACTAAAAATGCAAATTATATAATAAAAAATTATCAATAAACAAAAAGAAAATAATTATTAGCCCATTTTTATACAGTTAAAAATTAATTAAAATCTAAGTTATAATTAACCATGAATTTTAATTATACATTTAATAAGATTAATTTTTTAATTATACATTTCATTAACTTTTATTTAAATCTATTGAAAATATATTTTTTATCTAAACTATGGGGCATGTTTTTTCGGGATTAAAATCAGATTTTAATTTAAGTCAAAGTCAAATAATCAATATTAATCACATCTTTCATTGATCCCGTAACTTTTTAACCACACATTTCAAAAACTTCAATCACAATTTATTAAAAATCTAATTTTAATCCCCACCAAACACACACATAGATTTTCACGGTGACAAACAATTGCTATAAAATTTTGGAAGTATTAAAAAATAAAACTCTTTTACACGAAAATTCAAAGCAAAAAGATAAGCGAGTGAGACACGTGAGCGGACCATCCACAACTTTGGACACGTGAAGGCGGCTATATACTGCTCATGACTCAGCAATCATTATAGTAAAAAGCCAGTCAATTTATCGTGATATAGGGTACATATTCTCATTCAACTTCTCTGTAGATGCAAAGATACATGGCTCTTATTTTTATTTGTAGAAAGAAGGTAAATGAACATGCCTTGCTCTTATTAGGAGTCAGTTTGTACCACATTTTTTTCTTAGAGCCCGTTTGGTACACATTAAAATGAGAGAATGCATTTTTTGAAGTGATGTGATGAAAAATGTGTGGTTGAAAAAGAATGAAAAGTTATTGATGTGATGAAAAATATTATTTTATTGAATAATGTGTGGTTGAAAATGAGTAAAAGAATGAAAATGAAAAAAATAATGTGGCCCAAACATGGGCTTAAAATTGAATTTTGAAATAGTAGGTTGACGAAGAATGTGAGGTTGAAAAATAAGGAAAATTTTTGGGTTTGCCTATAATATTATTTTATTAAAAAATGTGTGTTTGAAAAAAAAAAGAATTTTTCAAAATAATGGAAATCAAACCAGGGCTAGGAAATAATAGTAGTAAAACGTACTACACAGGTTAGTCTTAAATAAATAAAAATTGTGAATATATGATTAAATTAATTGTTAGAATTCAGTTTGTGACTTGAATCTATTTGGAAATTCTAATTGAAATTCAATTGAAATTTTGAAATTTATGTTAGAGTTAAAGAGGTCAAGATATGGATTAGAGAGAAATTTTCAACGCATTATGGCTAGCTTAGCGCTTGTCTTCCATTCAAGCACTTAAAACAGGAGTGTTGGTATTCGTTTTACGTGGACCTAGCTATTCGTTCGGACCATACCCTTTTTTACACTTTTTCAGCATTATTTTCCATCTATAACTCTATTTCTAGAGTTTGAAACACTCTCTATATACATTAGATCTTTATTGTGGTTTAGATAAGTTAGACAATATTGTAAATACAATATTTTTGTATTCTTTCTTCGTACTCTAGTCAATTCTCCTTTCTCTGTCAATTATCTTTTATTCTTGTGTGTTTGTGATATTTACTTCATATTACGTTATATATATTCATCTTCATATACACAACATTAATGTTTAATTTTGACGAAATAAAAAAGTTATTTATAAATTACTTTTTATGGAAACATGAATAGAGGCACGATCTCGTGCTCGAGACGACTTATAACAGCAGAGAAGTAGTTCTCACGGTTCTCCCAAGGTGTCTCAATCATCGCAAAATAGACAAATGAACAACACCTGTTCACCCGACCCCACCCCACCATACCTTTTGGCCCTTCACCAAAGCTCAAGAAAATTCACAAGAAATATCAAGTTGCAAATCGTTTCACTTTCAACACCTGTTTGGTCAGTGAAAACTACCCTCGTCTCTCTTGCTCTCCTTGTCTCTCTTGCTGTACATATATCTGAAAAATCAAACCAAAGATTTTCCTCTTACTTTAATGAACAAAACCCACTTTGTTTTTACATTAAAGTTTTATTTTGGTAGAGAAAGATTCAGTTTGTTTGGTGGATTAGTAAAAAATAAGAGCAAAAAGAGGTGGGAAAGATGGGGATTTTGTATGATGATGCAGTGATAATCAGGCAATCAGAGATAGAAGGGGAACCCAGTATAATAACTGTAAATTGTACAGACAAGACTGGTTTGGGCTGTGATCTTTGCCGCATAATCCTCTTCTTTGAGCTTACTGTTGTCAGAATTGGTACGCTTATGAAACAATTTATTTGTATTGCATGTAAACAAGTTTTGGGTTCCTGTTAAAATTCAGAATGCATAAATACAGACACATATTTATTTTGTCGGTATCCTGTTTGATGAATTGTTAAAGGCACTGCAAATTCTTGTGAAAATTTTGTTGTGGATTCTTGATAATTTTCTGCTCGTCTTCTTCTGTAAGTTATGATTTAATTATTACTTTTTTTCGGAGGTCGATTTAAGTTGTTGAAAATGGAAGTAATTCAGTTCTGCTGCATGAATTATCTCTCTGTCTATGCAGACTTGCCTGTATTTATGGCTACTAACTTTCATTTTTTATTTTTTTACTGTGTATGAAGATGTATCTACGGATGGAAAATGGTGCTATTTAGTATTTTGGGTTATTGGAAAACCGAGTACAAGATGGGGTTTATTGAAGAAGAGATTGTTGGATGCATGCCCTTCTTGTTTCTTGGCTTCTGATATTCCGTATTACAGGGATCAATTGCAGCAGTCAAGGCCTCCGGATGTGTTCCTTTTGAAGTTCTGTTGCCATGATAGGAGAGGCCTTTTGCACGGTAATTCCCAAATTTTGTTGCAGAACTTTGTATAGGAATGATTATATTCATTGTTAGAATTTTTTAAGTTGATCGTCATTTACTTGACTCGGTTCTTCTCTTTGTTTCTTGTTTGGAACTCTTGAGTTTTTACGATTCAATGATATAATTTCAGGGCCTGTTTTGGCGTAGAATTTTCGAGAATAGGTTTTGCAAAAAATGGTTTTTTTTTTTGGCAAAATACATGGTAAAAAACGATGGAAAAGTTGTGGGTCCACATGCAAAGTTATTTTACTAAGAGAATGTCTAGTTAAAAATGAGTTTGGGAAAAAAATTTGTTTTATAGGATCTGTATGAAACAGGGGCTCGATTTATTCCTTGGTTCCTCATCGTCCTCGAATTGTAAAGATATGAGAACTGTATGGCATTTTCTGAGTTTAATTATTATTCATGTTTGGTGTTTAAATTTATCCAATATTTGCCCCTAGTTCTCCATGTTGTTGGATAGTAAAGTATCTCGACCAAGGAGGACATGTGGGTTAGATCAACTGGTTAAATTATGGACAAATTTTTTGGCAGATGTGACAAAGGTCCTATGCGAACTTGAGCTTACGATAAAGAGAGTTAAGGTTTCAACCACTCCAGACGAGAAAGTGATGGATCTCTTCTTCATTACCGACACAAGGTTCTGTATGCTTTGCTCAGTCTTCTTAGTTCTAAATTAATATCAGCTTTTTGGTTATTCTCACTCTATTGCTATGCATTTTTCTGCTCCTATTTTCTTTTTCGTGCACCGCTATGGAAATACTTATCAATCACAGTATTCAGTATTCACAAAATAGTTATCTATTTCTATTATTATTTGGTCATCTTGATACTTTCCTTTTCGTGGACGTATTTCATAATCTTTCTCAAACAAGTAAATCTAGAATGTAGGACTCGAATACTCAGCAAAAGTTGGATCAGCATCCTGTCCTGTAAGAGATGTAGATCAATTATAAGTAAATTGTAATACAAGTTCCGAGAATAACAGAGTATATAGAAGTGAAATAAAACTACAGAATTTCATTTTTGTGCACTATTTCTAAAGTAGATGTTAACTTGCAAGTGAATGTCTAAGTATTGTTTTAAATTCGATCACTATCTATGTTCAAGGACTTACTAATTGGTATGCTTCACAATTTTCTTATCAGGGAACTTTTACACACAAAGAAGAGACAGGAAGACACATATGACCATTTAAAAGCTGTTCTTGGGGATGCTATAATTAGTTGTGATATAGAAATGGTGGGCACTGAAACTACTGCATGTCCACAAGCTCCATCATTTCTTCCTGATGAATTTACTGAAGAGATGTTTAACGTGGACACACCCGATGAATGCCAAATTGGATCTGTGGCTTTCAGAACTCCATCCATCATGATGGATAATTTGTTGAGTCCTGCTCACACGCTTGTCCAAATTGTTTGTCAGGATCACAAAGGCCTCCTATATGATATAATGCGAACTTTGAAGGATTATAACATCCAGGTGTGTAACTTTCTTTATGTTGATGTATAATATGTTTAACTAATGGTCTGAAATTTTCCATCTATTTGGGTGAATTACTGACTCGTGTCATTATCCTTTTCTGAGATATTTTGATATAACTTGAATAGTGCCGTGATACAATCGGCTGCCATTTGGTCTCTTCTCCCATTTTTTTCATGTCAGTCACAGCAACAAAGTCTGCAGCTTTAGAGTGCCGAATTCTCGTATTCCCTCCTTTGCAATATTAGAAGGACTGGATGTATAATAAAAAGACTTGAGAGTAATAATAAAAAAGATTTTAACTTTTCTTTTCTTTCTTAGCGCTGTTTGAGCCACATTTTTGGCTAAGAATGCATTTTGGAATAGTAGGTTGATGGAGAATGTGTGGTTAAAAAAGAAGGAAATAATTTTGGAAATAATGAGGATCAAACAAGGGCTTAATACCATCTAGTGCTATCATATCCTACCTACCAAACATGTCATATGGTTTAAGTGCATTCTTACATTTGTGTAATCTGTGACCCAATATTGATTTATAGGATTTTCTTACCTTTCCTTATAATCATATGACACAATACTAGCATGCTGTATTTGCAAGAAGTAATCTTCTCAATCAATTTTCGGTTCTTTTATAACCAGCATAAGTTGTTCATATGTAATTTTTCTAGACGCAAGTCACGCAACTTTCTGATTGTATCACATTATGGTTTTTACCAGATTTCTTATGGGCGATTGACAAGGATAGAGAACACAGAATCTGAGCTGGAATTATTTATCATGCAAGCGGACGGTAACAAAATAGTTGACTCAAGCAAACAGAATGCATTGTGTTCTCGTCTTCGAATGGAACTAAGTCGTCCTCTTAGAGTAGCAGTCATCAGCCGTGGCCCTGATACTGAATTGCTAGTTGCAAACCCTGTAGAGTTATCGGGAAAGGGACGTCCCTTGGTTTTCCACGATATCACTCTTGCTCTCAAGATGCTCAACAGTGTCATTTTCTCGGTACTTCCCTATAATCATGCTTTACTTCCCCTTTTTTATGTTTCTTTCAAAAAATGCACTAGCCGAATTCACCATCACATTTTATTATGCAGTAGATGGTTGTCGTATTTGTGTCTAGTAGTTTGATTAATGGCAAAACCTGCAGTTCTTATGTGGTTACTGCTATACTGGTGTAGTGATTGTGTATGTGGAATGGGTGTCCGTGCATTGAGAGCATGTTTAGCTGAGCCTAAAAAAAAAAAGTAAAAACGTAACTTTAAGCATAGCCAAACCATATGTTTAGCTTAAATGTAGCTTTTTAAGGAACTTTTTATCCAAAACATGTTTGCCAGCAAAGGGGGGAAAAGGAGTAACTTTAATTAAAAATACAACTAAAGTCGTCTTACTTTTCTTTCAAGTACTTTTAATTTTTCAAGGCTTAGCTTGACATCTCTAAGAAAAATGATACTTATATTTGGATATAGTTCAAATAGTATATGCTTGAAAGAGAAATTTTCCAGCTCCGGGAGCTCATAAAGAGAAATGGTTCACTATGAGACTAAGACATGCACAAACACACGAATAAAGAGAAAATATATTAATTCATAAGAAATTTAGATAAACAAAAATCTGGTATATGGGTTGAGGTTATTCGTTTTGTAAGTGTCATTTCCTGATTTCTTTGCAAATTGATTTGATCTGGTTCCCTTTTCAGGCTGAAATTGGGAGGTATATGATTGGAGATAGGGAGTGGGAAGTATACAGAGTTTTACTTGATGAAGGCAATGGTTTATCCGTCTCAAGGGAAGAGATTGAGCAGGCCGTCTGGAAGATGCTGATGAGTTGGGAGTGATCGTGATCAGACATGCTACTTGACTGTCCGAGACCCACAACTTGACCTCTATGTGGAGTACGCCACCCTTGATTGGCACCTGTGTAATGTAGACACTTTATAATGTATATAATATAGAGCATATACAAGTTTTCGTGTACAACTGACCTTTTAATGTAACACGAGTAAATTTCTGTAATGAAGAGAATAGAGGCAAGTCTGTCTTTTGGACAATGTACTTCCTGAATTGTAGCGAGTAAATGATATATTTTGCGATAGATTTTTCTACTATAATCTAGTTTAACGTACCCCCATGTCCTCATGAAATTGTAGCGAGTAACTGAATAGTGGCATCCGCAGTCCCTGGACATGGTCCGAGGTTCTTCCAATGGCTATCCTTCTGGGTTACTTAAACATGTACAGAGAAAATTAAACAAAGTTTAATAGCCAAAAGTCGGATTAACTTTGTGTTCAGAAGAAATTCATGATAGTTAGTGATCTTACAAAAAATCGTCACTACTGAGATTGATCACAAACAAGATCTTCCGGTACCTGAAACAAAGGCGTCGAGGTGTGTCCTCATTGCCCCTCCGATTCTTAAGTCAGACAGGGAAGTTGAGAGAAAATATATGCTGAATATGTGTAAAAAAGTACCTGAATGATGGATGGAAAGGCTGTATTTATAGGGGAAGGTAAGAGAGTTGTAGTATGATTCAACTCCTTGTTTTCAGGAGTAAGTATTGGAATATAATTAGGAGTCTAAACTTACCTTGTTAAAAGTGTTACCAAAGACGAGACACCTTTATGATCTAGGATTCTTAAGTTGGCGCGTTCGTGTGGGATTAGGAATCTTCCAGAATGAGGATCGGCGACACTTGGTTAGGAATACGCGGGATTTGTCCAAGTAAATATCCCGGGCCTTTATTCCGGAGGACTTCCGGAGTGATTATAGGGGCAATCTGGGGTGGTCCTTCCTCGAGATGTCTCGAGGATGTTATATGCCCGAGGATTCTCAACTGGTGGTCAAGGAAGTTGAGCTACTTCTAGTCGTCATGCTCGAGGTGATATATTATGACCATATCAGTTAGTATACCTTTTAACGATTTCCGTAAGTTTAATGGCCATGATTAGTTTAGTAACATAACTAAGCAACACTGCCAAGTAAAGAAAAGTTTTCGTCAAATGAATGAGGAAATTGAAATGATACCTAGTAGCTATGCTACAACATTGCAAATGCATGGGACACTATAACCAAGGATTATATGTTGAACATATGATCACATAAATAGTTAATTATAGACTATATATAGACAGATGGTCATGGAGGACATGACTAGAAATCGAATGTATAATTACAAATATATTACACCTCAAGAAAATAAGCAAATAACAGATCAACACGATACTATCTGATAATAAAATTAACATATTGACTAAGTATATTATATTTATAAATTACGTGACATGCACATAACGAAGGGGTCCTACATGGGCCTATTCGACATCGATATCGACAATTGGATTGGACCAATTAATCAAGCAACCTCTTTCAGCCTAGAATTGGGTCGGTCGATTACCTCACTTAGCCCATTTTCATTGCTCTCTCTCTCTATATATGAGTACACTTCACAATTAAGGTAATGAAATCTCTAATCCTAATGAAATCACCTTATCCCGTCACTTGCACTCATATTATCTCTTCTCCGACAGTTGACTTGATCGTTGGAGTGCAAACGATCGTCAGACATTTTTCTCGACCAATGACCTTTGCCTCCTAATAAGGTGTTCAAGTGTGCAGCTGACGCCTATGTAGAGGGGAGGTGATTGAGATTCTATAGACGCATTTTCTTAAGTCAACAAGGAATATCTATTATTATTTTGGTAAAAGTAAATAAATAATGAAGCCGACTACAAGAAAGTAGAAAAGTGCCTATCTTCATAATTAGTAAGATTACCTTTCAAGCTTTTTTTTTTTTTAAATTTATTAGGTAATTTCTATTTTCTTATTTTAGTTTGGAGACGAAATTTTATTTTTACTCTATTTATCGGGCTTTTAGCTTCTTTCATCCGCAAATAATACATGTAGTGCCTCTAAAATTGAAGATCGGTTGGTGATTGCGCAAAAACTCTGATAAAATTGCTTCTGATTAAACTTTTATGCCCTTTTCTTCTATATTTCGTACACAAGAATTAAGAAAGTAAATAAATGGTGAGAGATCCTGCCAAATACAAAAAAATATATATATAAAAAATCAATGAGTTTCACACCAAATAACATATCACTTGCCCTGTTGCGCTGGTTGGCTACAAAAAGTATCAAAATTCCAGACCCAAATTGTTAAATCCCACTTTTTTTTCGTCGAATTTAGCTTTCATAGTGGGTTCAGTACTGTTTGTATCCATAGAACACATCACGTTTCCAGCCATTAGGATGATTTGTGACGGGACGATCACAACTTTGTTAGAAGTATTGGAAACTATGGCTTAGTGAGCCACTTTTGGCATAATTTTGAGTGGGACCCATTCGATCAATTTGGAAAATCAAACTTGATTCGTGTCTTCTTCCGTGAGAATATCAAAATAATATATTTACTTGCCAAAAATGATGCTTGGGTGATTGAGAAATTGAAGCTCAAATTTGATGTATTATAAGATAATTTTGTGTTGAAGGAAAAACTATAGATAGTTTGTTCCATAGGAAAATGAATAAAGCAATGAAGACTTCATATCTGATTACACTTTGGAAGGGTTTTATCATGTGTAACATATAGACTCTCTTCATTTGCGTGCGCAGGGGAGTGCAAATACCGAATCAGAACTTTGGGCCATGAACTTGTGCGCGCGCGAGACCTACGTACACGAAGCCTTAGGAGAGTATTTTGTAATTTTGCTTTCAGTGTTCGGACTCTACCGGTTTTTCATTGTATCATGAGAAACAGACGTCCGAACTAAACTTTAAGCACCTGTGGTGAGGGGACTATTCTGTTTTAAGAACACTGCGTAATACACAAGCTTTAGTAGTTTACACAATTATATCTTTTTAACGATTTCCTACCTAAACTTCAAACACCTACGATGAGGGGACAAATCTATTTTAAGGACACTGCGTAATACACAGGTCTCAGCTTGCCCAATTCTATCTTTTTAACGGTTTTCCAACTACCTCAAGTGCTTATGGTGAGGGGCGAAGCAGTTTTGAGGACACTGCATACTACACAGACCTCAGTTTGCACAATTCTGTCTTTTAACGATTACATATTCACACAATATTATTTCATGTTCAATTTATTTCTAAAATAGTAACCATCGTTACATTTTGCTATAGGACTTTAAAACAACACTCCGGTATCTACACTATCATTCCATGAAATTTAATACCCATTAGTCATAATAAACCTTTATCGGATCACTTTGATTGACTAATATCATTTAAATAATAGTACCACACATTTCAATTTACAACGTGTGGCCCCATATATGTTGAAATTATCCAACACCTGCCAAATACAAAAAAAAAAATATATAAAAAATTAATGAGTTTCACACCAAATAACATATCACTCGGCCTGTTGCGCTGGTTGGCTACAAAAAGTATCAAAATTCCAGACCCAAATTGTTAAATCCCACTTTTTTTTCGTCGAATTTAGCTTTCATAGTGGGTTCAGTACTGTTTGTATCCATTATAGAACACATCACGTTTCCAGCCATTAGGATGATTTGTGACGGGACGATCACAACTTTTGCTTTTGTTAGAAGTATTGGAAACTATGGCTTAGTGAGCCACGTTTGGCATAATTTTGAGTGGGACCCATTCGATCAATTTGGAAAATCAAAGTTGATTCGTGTCTTCTTCCGTGAGAATATCAAAATAATATATTTACTTGCCAAAAATGATGCTTGGGTGATTGAGAAATTGAAACTCAAAGTTGATGTATTATAAGATAATTTTGTGTTGAAGGAAAAACTATAGAAAGTTTGTTCCACAGGAAAATGAATAAAGCAATGAACACTTCATATCTTATTACACTTTGGAAGGGTTTAATCATGAATAACATATAGACTCTCTTCATTTGCGTGCGCAGGGGAGTGCAAATACCGAATCAGAACTTCGGACCATGAACTTGTGTGCGTGCGAGACCTACGTACACGAATGTCAAGCCTTAGGAGAGTATTTTGTAATTTTGCTTTCAGTGTTCCAACTCTACCGGTTTTCCATTGTATCCTGAGAAACGGACGTCCGAACTAAATTTTGAGCACCTGTGGTGAGGGGACTATTCTATTTTAAGAACACTGCGTAATACACAAGCCTTAGTAGTTTACACAATTATGTCTTGTTAACGATTTCCCAACTAAACTTCAAACACCTACGATGAGGGGACAAATCTATTTTAAGGACACTGCGTAATACACAGGCCTTAGCTTGCCCAATTCTATCTTTTTAACGGTTTCCAACTACCTCAAGTGCTTATGGTGTGGGGCGAAGCAGTTTTGAGGACACTGCGTACTACACAGACCTCAGTTTGCACAATTCTGTCTTTTAACGATTACATATTTACACAATATTATTTCATGTTCAATTTCTTTCTAAAATAGTAACCATCGTTACATTTTGCTATAGGACTCGTTCTGTTCCTAATTTATATAAATCTGCAAATTATTTCAGACAACAAAAAGAAGAATGAAATTCAAAATGAACAGTATTTAGATTAATAATGACCACCTTCACCACCGGAACTGTCCATTCGAGATATGAAACTTTGAATCTGTAATCTGTTCTTCAATGATTTAGAGGTTTTGTTAGAACTTTGAAGGTGGGGATTTCTGTCATTTTGAGTCATGAAAAAGTCGAAAATGTTGGGACTTTGTATTCAAACGCAAAAAGCAATAGAGAGTCCAGGGGCGGAGGTGGGGGGGGGGGGGGGGCCTGCGGGGGGGCCTGGCCCCCCCCAATTTTTTGACAATAAATTTTTTTTTTTTTTTTTTGCTTATNAATTTTATTTTATTTTTAGTTATCTCATAACTAATCCAGAATTTGTAGGATTACGAGGCCTTTGTGAACTTGCACAAAAGTTGGTTGTGACAAAAAAAAAAATGAAATATACTCGTTATTATACAAACTTTTGACATTGACATTAATTTCTCAAAGTATGAGTACTCGAAAGGAACACTTGTAATAAGATATGATTTTGCTAAATTAAAGATTAGTACTTTATTTTATACGTTTCTTGATTTCTTTGTTAAGTTTTCGTACATTAATTTATGTTCTGTTGTTTCCTTTCTCTATCATAAAGTACCAACTTTCCTCATTTTAACACATAATGTTTAAAAAAAAAAATTCGGGGGCGTGGGCCCTCACCCCTTCAACTCCGGGACCCCCCTAGTTCAACGGGCTGGCTTCGCCCCTGATAGAGACACATCTGACAATCAATGAGGAAGTTCTTGGCTTTTTCTTGTAATCTATTCTGAGTCACACGTTTCATTTTCCTACTTACGACTATACGCATTCGCAAGTAGCTTGTACAATAAGAGTATGTTAGGTACACAGTATTAGATAGAATTACATAGTAGTTTATGTAAGCATACACTTAGATTTGTTTATATATTGCATTTCATCCATCTGAAATTCAATAAACATATAACTTTGTTCTGAGGTGTGAAAGGATAAAAACATGGTGGTTCTAGCTGATAAGAGTGGTGGTGGTGTTGGTGGTTCGCCAGGGTTGGGAAGCTATGGCCTCCAAGTGCTAACGGGGCGATGGTTCATGGTCTTTGCATCCCTTCTGATCCTGTCGATGTCTGGTGCTACCTACATGTTTGGTCTCTATTCCGGTGACATCAAATCGTCCCTTGGTTATGATCAAACAACCTTAAACTTGCTAAGCTTCTTCAAAGACTTGGGAGGCAATATTGGGATCATATCCGGGCTAATCATGGAGGTTACACCGCCTTGGGTAGTTCTTTCCATGGGTGCTGCTATGAACTTCGTTGGCTACTTTATGATATGGCTTGCTGTAACTAAAAGAATAGCTAAACCCGAAGTGTGGCAAATGTGTTTATACATATGTATTGGTTCAAATTCTCAAGCATTTGCCAACACTGGAGCACTAGTTACATGTGTAAAGAACTTCCCGGAGAGCCGGGGAGTCGTTCTCGGCCTCTTGAAAGGATTTGTTGGCCTAAGTGGTGCAATTATCACACAACTATTTCATGCTTTTTATGGAGACAATTCTAAGTCGCTCATATTGCTCATTGGTTGGCTTCCGGCAGCAATTTCTTGCATTTCGCTCCCAACAATTAGAATCTTGAAGATTGTTGGACGATCGAATGAGCTCAAAATCTTCTATCGTCTACTCTATATATCGCTTGCTCTTGCCGGATTTCTCATGATCATTATTATTGTGCAGAATATATTCATCTTTAAAAGGGCAGAGTATGCAGGCAGCGTCTCGGTTGTAATCATATTACTCCTTGCCCCACTAGCCGTTGTATTCAGAGAAGAGTTCAAAATTTGGAAAATCAAGAGACAAATGTTTGATGATGCTTCAGATAATCTGAAAGTGGTTACAGAAAATCCTCCATCAATCGAATTACCGCACAATCAAGCAACACAACCAGCTACCAACAATCCACAGCATGAAGAAAATCCCCTTTCCGCAATACAACCAGCTGCCAACACTCAGCATCCTGTTTCGTGCTGGAACAACGTATTTAGGCCACCGGAGAGAGGGTCGGACTACACCATATTGCAAGCCCTGTTCAGCATCGACATGTTGATTATCTTTATTGCCACAGCATTCGGGGTTGGCGGGACCTTGACCGCGATTGACAATCTAGGCCAAATTGGCAGGTCCCTAGGCTATCCAAGTAAAAGCATCTCCACATTCATATCACTTGTCAGCATATGGAATTATCTTGGAAGAGTAACTTCAGGATTTGCTTCAGAAATGTTGTTGGCAAAGTACCAATTCCCACGTCCTCTGATGCTCACATTAGTACTTCTCCTCTCTTGCACTGGCCATCTCCTCATTGCATTTGGGGTCCCAAATTCACTCTATGTTGCCTCAGTAATCATGGGGTTCTGCTTTGGAGCGCAATGGCCACTGATATATGCAGTCATATCAGAATTATTTGGGTTGAAATACTACTCCACACTGTACAATATTGGTGCCGCTGCCAGCCCATTTGGAGCTTACATGCTCAATGTAAGAGTTGCAGGCAATCTGTATGACAAAATGGCTAAGAAGCAATTGGCAGTTAATGGCCTAGCCCGGAAACAAGGAGAAGATCTGTCGTGCAACGGTACCGAGTGCTACAAGTTGGCTTTTCTGATTATCACGGTTGCTACATTAATGGGGAGCATCGTTTCTTTCATTTTGGTGATTAGAACAAGAAAATTCTACAAAGGTGATATATACAAGAAGTTCCGAGAACAAGCCGAAAGAAGCAACCAGCACTGAAATAATGGCCTCCCGACAAGTAGTCATATGTAGTTTTGTGCTTGCTTATGTAATAGTTTCGAAGATATGGCACGACTTGCTGCCTTTCCTCTAAGGCGGTTCTTTATCTAATCGTAAGCAAGAGTTCATTTGCTATCCGTTTAGTCATTGACGGACAACTACGATTGCACCCACTTGTACTCATTTGTTTCTATTACCTCCCAACTTCAACGTTTGTTACAATTTGATTATTATATCCATATCCACTATTAACTCGTGGCACGAACTACAAATTACTACGCTCTCGTCTCTCTGATTGTCATTTTAGATTGATACTGATCTCATAAAACAACAAATCAATTTACTTTGCACCCAACGTGAAAATCCATACGTATCATGGCACGTGTACAAGAAATTAAGTCAAGAATTCTCACAATATATAAGCAAAACATTATACAAATCTTCAACATTTTTCAAATGTAGTTAAGATAAGAGTAAAAATAAAAATAAATAAAGATTGATTGAGACGAGACTACATGGACCACTACCAATCTTGAATGTCGAGCCGCAATAAGCGTGTTCGATTCTCACTCACTTGCCAAATTCATTGGATTTAATGAGTCCAACTACATGGACCAGAACCAACATTTCATGCTGACCACAAGTTGAGTTTAGCGAAGTCCACACAATTAAGCATTAAAGTCTTCAAAACTAATGAAGGTCGATTACCAGTGCGATTTCTACTGGTCATCGAGAGGGAAATGCACACGATATTGTTATTTTAGATTTTTTATTTTTCTCTCTTACCAACGATCGAGATTTTTTTTTGTCTTAAATCAAGAAATATCTTTTTGAGAATCTCAATCCCATACAGATCTAGCCTTTGTCAGACACCAATTATTTTTAACCACACATTCTTCAATAAAATAATATTATACGCAAATCCAAAATCTTTTCTTATTTTTTAACAACACATTTTCCATCAATCTTGTATTCCAAAATACATTCTTAGTCCAAAAATTGCGTTCAACGGCTCCTAGTGTCATGTCCAAATCTACTTCTTAAAAATTACGCAAGAATGTGAACTGGAATGAATTGTCAATTCTATTGCACGACTTATCACTAGCTCGAAACTTTTGTATCGTACCTCAGGGGTTCATTGCACTACTCAGCGTTAGGATCGTAAAATGAATCACGGTAGGCTTGTTATATCCATACTTCTTTGATCTATACATCGGACTAGCACTGATCACAAACCCAACCCATACTCGATCATTATGGACAATAGTAGGAAGAAGTGAGTGCAGTAGCAGCTCAAAAAAACTATATGGAATTCAAATCTTTCATCCCTTCATCCCAATCTTGAAATAGGTTGGGTCGAGATTACAATTATTGCTTTCGAGTTCTTTCCCCATGTAGTCAGTCACCCCTGTATAGGAGTGGTCAAGAAGTGATTTTTTTTAATAAACCATTTTCCCAAAAAAAAAAAAAAAACTCTGAATTCCCTAATCATATTCATTATGTTTCTTTTACAACCAATAAAAACTGTTTTTCTTAGTATTCCTCGAGGGATCATCGATAAATCAAGAGTCTTAGACGATCATCTAACTTATGTAATACTTGAGTCAGCTCTATTAAACGGGATTATGTTTCAACAATAGTTTTCTTATCATAAATAGGACATTCATTAGTGTAAATATATTAATAAACACAAGGAACTAGATTAATTATAACTTATAACTAATATATCGTGGAAATGTTTCAAAATTAAGTACAAGTCAAGATTCAATACACCGCCAATATATTCTCATTCATACAAGTATTTCCTCCTCTATCCTTTTCTTCTAAGTTTCAATGTCGCCATTGATGGCATTTTTACCTTTTTCATTTATTTTTTCTCCTTCTTGACTTGTATAAAGCACAAAAGTGATGAACATATATAATGGTAGGGGTCACCGTGCACTGTTACAATTATTGTTTCCACTTCAATAATTTTTAAGGGGTTTTGGAATGGGGTTGGGTTTTACTTTGTGTGATGAATAACGTATAGTTTTATCTTCTAAGCAAAGTCGAGCATTATAGCGAAAGGCCATATTAAAGAATAAAAGCAACATCACCTACAAGAAAATATGTGTATAAAAATTTCTTATCTGTCATTCTCTCTAAAAGTTTCTCTTTGACAAATTCATAAAGAGGAATATTAGTGGAATATTATCAACTTTTCAATCACACCTTTCATCAATTTTTTTTTTTCAAAATTTATTATATCCTTTATCAGTAGCTCTGTCACACAATCCCTAAAGTTAGAAGCTAAGTAGATTAACATTCTTGTCATTTGGTAAACTAACCAAATTCTTTATTTATAAGACTGGAATCTCATCATAATTAAGCCTGTGTTAGTGTGTTTGATGCACAATATTATATCCTACGTATACTAAAAGAGCCAGTTGGGAATGCACTGTTCATGCCAGATGTCAAGAATTTGAATCGTCAACTAACACGACATCGTTTGGTTAACCTCGCGTTTTTTCGTCATTTCACACTCACTGCTGCCCTATTTTCTCTGCAAAATCCATGAATTGATTCGCAAAATTCACATAATTCACACCGCCGCACCCACTAGCCACTGCTGCCTATTTTCTCTTCCCAATCCATCAATTGGATTTACAAAATTCACGCTACATTCATCCATCCCCGACCCATTGCTGCCTGAAAGGTATTTCTTCATTTTCCCGACAACCAGGTGGTGACAGAGGCGGTGCCTCCGTATCTCTGTGAGACACGGGAAATCAGTATTTGCTACAAAATTTCTTGAATCTTAAAATAGCATTCACCTACACAGAGACAAGGGCTAAGAAACACAAGACCGACAGGAAAGGAAAGCAATTGCATAGAATGTTGTGCACACACCATCACTTATAGACATGGGTTTGGTACTCTTTTGATCCTATCCATGCGGCTCTCGAGGTCTTGATTATACATATATGTATTTGTTTGTAATTTTTTATAATGGTTTTGTGGAGTAATTTTCTGATTTTTGTGTAATTATTCGATTTTTTGGGTTGGTGGGTTCCAGGTGGAAGGGATAGTGAAGCAATCAGCGGTGGCAAGAAAATGTGGATAAAAATTTCTTATCTGTTATTCTCTCTAAAAGTTTCTCTTTGACAAATTCATAAAGAAAAATATTAGTGGACTCCACGAAATGTGTGTATAATAGCAGAGTAGTATTTATGAATGCGCGATTGAAGTTAACCACGACAACTGCGCGATTTGTAGAGTGCTTTGCTTTTATTTTGTTAATATTAATTTTTTATTCTATCGTGCCATGAAACTTATGCAAATACAACAAAATCAAACCGACTTGACCACGAATACTTTGCTATTCTAGCCCTTGAACCACGAATACTTTTAAATCTCTTATTTATTTGTAATTTGGTATTTGCTAAATATGCATGTTCGATAAAAAAATTTCAACTTTTTAACTGATGAAACTTTAATTTTTATCACGAATTTTACGGAGGCCACAATTTTTATCAACTTTTCAATCACACCTTTCATCAATTTTTTTTTTTCAAAATTTATTATATCCGTTATCAGTAGCTCTGTCACACAACCCCTAAAGTTAGAACCTAAGTAGATTAACATTCTTGTAATTTGGTAAACTAACCAAATTCTTTATTTATAAGAATGGAATTTCATCATAATTAAGCCTGTGTTAGTGTGTTTGATACACAATCTTATATAATACAAAATAGTACAAGATTTTAGGATTTTTTTTTCTTTATTTTATGCTTGTATATTATGAAGGGATAATTGTAGCGGAGGTCCCAAACTTTTTTAAATGTGCAGATTATACCCAAACATTTAAATCATAGTAATGAAGGTCCAAACATTTCAAAATTGTGTGACGGAAGAACCCCTGAACGATTTTGTCTAGAGGTACGTTAGTTGATCGAAAGTCAATGATGGATAATAATTTGACCAAGGCTGGCAAAAAGGTCTTTAAACTTTTAATTAATTAAAAAAGGAAAATAATTTGACCAAGGCAAAGCTTCCAAACGCTTCAAGAATATCTAGCAGGATTCCAAACCTTTAATAAATGAGTGTTGGAAGAAGGGCCTCTAACAATTTCATCCAAAAATCTATTGGTTGACAAAAAAAAAAAAAAATTTTTCCATTTTAAAATGGTCAAATGCTTACTTTCAATCAACAACGTGCCTCGGGTGAGGTACAAAAATCGTCTAGAGATCCATCCTCCACACAATTTTGAAAGGTTTGGGACCTCCACTGCTAAAATTTAAATGTTAGGATATAATCTACATTTTTTAAAGGGATATTTTCAAGAATGTCCACAATTAAGGGTGTGAGTTGAAAAGTGTCTAATTTTCAAATTTAACACTAAAGTGTCTATTATGCCCTTAATGAAAAAAAAGAACATTTGAATCTCTACGTATTCTCGACATTTAAAATGTCATTCTCGACATTTGAATTCCATTTTATATTTCAATAGTATACACGTCAAATCACAATATTAAATGTTTTCGATATTTCAAAACGTCATTCTCGACATATTAAATGTCTAGAAGGACATTTCATTTCAAACATGACATTTCTCTACACTTGAAATGTCGTTCTCGATATTTCTATGTTAATGCAAAAAATAGCATTAATTGTGATTTGACATCTTGTAATTTGCAATAAATGGAGCAGGTTATGTGTCGAGATTTCATTAGCCCATATTTTTTTTGCAAAAATGTCCATTTTATTGTTTTTGAATGGAATCATAAATTATTGACCATGGGTATTTTGGTCTAAAATATACCAAAATGGCCATTTTTCCAAGAATTTTTGAAGTTGCCATTTTTACAAGTGACTAGAAGAAAGTGGACATTTTTTGCAATTTCCACTTTTTTAAAAAAAATATTTGGACCTCCATTACAATTATCTTTACCAGTAATTGTTATTTAATTTGCTTCACCAAACACGCCACCAGAATTCTTTGAATCATATGTTAGTTGACTCCAGTCAAACCAATCGACATTCCTACCTCCATTCTTCATTTCTAGTTTTCTACTAGTGAAATCTTGTCTCTCTTTCCACCCCAGCCTGGGCCCCACCAAATAATTTGGGTATATCCATCTATTTAACTCTATATTCACATCCCCCGTCTCTTGGCCTGTCATTTGGACGCCGGAATTTGTCATCGCCGGCGATCCATGATCGATCTTTCCGTACATTTCCTTTACTCTAGTTCTTCCGTTGATCCGTTCATTTCTCCATTCTATTTTTTACCGTTTCATTTTGCAAATTAATTATTCCAAAAAAGTTTCAAATTTTCGCTCTTGTTGATATGTATCTATGATTTAAATTTTATATGCCAATGAATAGACATACAAAAATACAGCAGACATTCATGTGGTGTGTTTAGGGTTAGGGTTTTGATAGGAATTGGAGAGTGACATGTTCACCAAGATTATAAAGAGAGGACACCGTAAGGTGGGCAAATCGGATGGCGCCGGCTCTGATTACGGTTATGCTTCGTCTAGCCGAAGCTCCGGCTCTGCCTCCACCACAAATATTGTCGTCAACCACGCCTCCCGTGGTGATGCGCCATTCAATTCAGCCCAACATCAATTAAGTTCTGCTGTAGTCACTGTGCCGGAGGCTCCTGTTACTCTAGAAAACCTACCCATGTTCAGGGACTTACCGATTTCTGAGCGCCAGAATCTATTTTTAAGGAAACTTAACATCTGCTGTTTCCAATTTGATTTCTCTGATACTCTAAAGATGGTGAGGGAAAAGGAGATTAAAAGACAAACCCTTATGGAACTCGTGGATTTTATTGAATCTGGGTCGGGTAAAATCACTGAAACCAGTCAGGAGGAATTGATTCGAATGATATCTGTAAATATTTTCCGGTGCTTGCCCCCAGCTTCGCATGAAAATACGGGGTCAGAAAATATGGAACTCGAAGAGGAAGAGCCTTATCTTGAATCCTCATGGCCACATTTACAGCTGGTTTATGAATTGCTCTTGAGATATGTGGTTTCATCAGACACAGATACAAAAATTGCCAAGAGATACATTGATCATTTCTTTGTTTTGAAGTTGCTTGATTTGTTTGATTCCGAGGACCCAAGGGAGAGGGAGTATTTGAAGACAATTCTTCATAGGATATATGGGAAGTTCATGGTGCATAGACCATTTATAAGAAAAGCTATAAACAATATCTTTTATCGATTTATATACGAGACAAAAAGGCACAGTGGGATTGGGGAGCTTTTGGAGATTCTTGGGAGTATAATTAATGGGTTTGCCCTGCCAATGAAGGAGGAGCATAAGTTATTTCTTGTTCGGGCTTTGATACCACTCCACAAACCTAAGCCAATAGCAATGTATCATCAACAGTTGTCATATTGCATTACGCAGTTCGTTGAGAAGGACTACAAATTGGCAGATACTGTTATACGGGGTTTGTTGAAGTACTGGCCAGTCACGAATTGCCAAAAGGAAGTTCTCTTTCTCGGGGAGCTTGAGGAAGTATTGGAGGCAACACAAGCTGCTGAATTTCAGCGGTGCATGGTCCCTCTTTTCAGGCAGATTGCTCGTTGCCTCAACAGCTCTCACTTTCAGGTGCCAGAGAATTACTAGATTTCTTTACTGATACTGTTGGTTTATAGCACAGTCATCTCAAGTATTGTTTTATTCCTATTACTGTTTTTTTTCTGATAATCTTATTTGTATTTCATTTTGATTAACTTAATTAATGTTCTTATTTCTTTAGTGCTAGTTGTATTTTCTTGTTCATGCTTTCATGAGTCTGGCATATTCTTTTTTTGTTTGCTGGAGCAATAAACAATCAAGAACTAAGCTCTGTTCCAAATTAGATCATGCTAATTTTTGTTTGTCTCTACCTCTGGTAATGCGTGTTTCAGAGATTGTACAACTTCTGTGAACACAAAACAATTTGAAGTCTACAAAAGATATGATACCGCTTCCCAAGTCCTTGTTCCCTTTATTTGTCATCCTTTGGTGTCATCTCCACTTGTTGGCCTATTTGCTCATTTCTTATTTTGCCAAATCCAGTATGGGTGCACATTCGATTTAACATTCTCACTTTTATTACGTTCATGTTTTGAATAGACATCTTTTAACAACGTAACTCAGTACCATGAAGTATAACTTGTATAACAGTATTGAACTGATGACGGTGGCTAAGAACTTATGGCATAATGGTATGTTTTCACCCAAATTTAATTTCAATACTCCACGCTTCTGTTCTCCATTCAGCGTTGATCACTGATTTTAATTATAGAATAATATTAAGTTTGGTCTTTCTGTTTACCAATCTACATTTTGGCATTTTTAGTCATACTGGAACGTTCTCACTTTATATACTATTCTTTTTAAACTAGTTCTTGTTTGCAACAAACGCAAGTAGTACAATGCAATTTGGGATGTTTTGGTATATGAATATTACAATTTCAGATGTGATTGTCATTTTTCCTTTGTTGAGATATGAAAGTGAGATTCTACAGACTAATTTTTCTTCCTTGGTGATGGTCTAGTAAATTATACTGTTAGCTCAGCTTGGCCGTACTTTAAAGAGATCCCTTTTTCTTGAGGATGGTGATTTTGGTCCTTGTTGTGGATGGGATTTAGAAATGTGGACCTTAGGAGTTCTTTCTTCACATTATTTGTTTCATTCACTACTTAAAGATGGCTTTGATAACTTGCTCAACTAGCCAAGCTGGGAAGTTTCGGATAACAAACTCCTACACTCCTACTATGATTTGGGCATTTATTAGCATCTATTTTTTCCATACATCTATAACGGAACCTGGCTAACCTTTATCAATATTCTTTCCTAGTACGTTCTTTTATCTAATTAATTGACGGATTTAAACTGGTCATAACATCTAATATGATAGAATTGCCTAGTGCGTGACGAAACTGGGATGCTGGCCTGGAAATGGCATTTGCACATCTTGTGTTACTGTTTCCAACTTGTAGCTTTTTATCTAATTGGTAGTTTGAATATTATATCGCTTTATCTCGGGGGACATTTACGCTTTTTGGTATCTTATGTTGAATGCATATTTTTTCTTACGGGAAAATAGAGTTCACGTTTCTTAGAATCGAAGAATTTATATGCATATTCTTAAGTTGCTCTTATATCATAATGACATGGCATGCACTATAAGATTAGAAGCAGAGATAATCTTAATTTCAAACCTCCAGTATGGATTGGATACTTGTCGACCTCCCCCTCTCTCATGTGATGGATACCTGTGCACTGTGCACACCCAGAATTATAGGGGTATCGGATGAACTTAGGTCTGTGAGTTTTCTTCTTTTTCTTTTCTTTTAAGAATAAACAGTGCTTTTTGACTCTTATTTTTATGTTTTACCTTTATGAATTAAAAAATGGATATGGACATGGTTGAAAATCTGCTGCTTATAGTCTATGCTGTTATTTTCTGTGGTATTTGGTGCTTAATGGAAAAAAAAACTTGAAAAACTTGTTTGACTGCAACTGCATGCAGTGAAAATTTCTAGAGTTTGTTGAGTATTTATGTGAAAAAATATTTATATTCTTGTTATCAATACTGTCAGCTTCCTTAATCAAATTAAAGCGCTAACGAGTTAGAAAGGGCCCCTAAAATGAAGTAAAAAGCCTTGTCCTCTTACTCTTTTAGCCTACCTTGTGGAGGTATCTCGGGTGTATACGGCAGCTCCGATCAGTCTCGTGATGAAGAGAAGTCTTTTCCGATCTTCAACTAAGAAAGTTATTTTAGCCTACCTTGTGGAGGTCTCTCGGGTATAAAAGAGAAATAAATGAATGACTATAAGGAACCAACAATTCTCTTTTCTTAAACAACCTATATCCTCCAGAATGAGCTAACTCAAATTTGGTGTCTTATTAGTAGTTTCTCAATTTAATAGTGACCGCACTTGTTTAGGGTTAGATTTATGATTCAAGGTTGTCTAATTTTCCTTATTTAGTGTATGAAGGACTTGAGGACAAGAAACAGAGGAGAACCTTTTATTATTATTTTTTTCTAAACAAGATTCTTGACAATTTTACGTGGGCTAATTGCTTCAGCTTCATAGTAGTTATTTTTCTAAGGCACTTTAATTTTCAGGTTGCAGAACGAGCTCTTTTTTTGTGGAGAAATGAACATGTTGTAAGCTTGATTGCCCAGAACCGGAATATCATTTTGCCAATTATCTTTGAAGCATTGGAAAAGAACATAAAGTTCCATTGGAACCCAGCAGTACATGGGCTCACTGTTAATGTGCAGAAAATGTTCGTGGAGATGGAAGTCGAGTTATTTGAGGAGTGCCAGAGGCAGTGTGCAGAGAGAGAAGCCAGGGCCAAAGGGTTGGAAGAGCAACGAGAATTGACATGGCAGAGATTGACGGAAGCTGCTGCTCAAGGAAGATGAAAATCATATCTATCGCTTTCTTGGTAACATATGACGTGAGAAACTGCTATTCAAAGTTTATCCTTGACGGGCTTTAGGCTTATAAAGGATAAGACATTCTTTTGTCTTAATGATATTCATTTGTTCTGTTGTTCATTTTCAATTTAGACTTGGCTTAATCATTCAAGATGACAGGCAAAGCAGAGGACAATGTAATTTAATTGTATTAATATTTGTTCTATTGAGCAGCAGATCAACGTTGGCTTGGTTTAGGTATCTATTGTGTTTTTGCAAGTTTTCCTGTGTGTAATTTGAACGGTTGGACGCTGAAATTGATTTGGTCAGGGGTTTAATTGTATGTGGAAAAGAATAAATAAATAGATAAGGTTCCTTTTTTTTCCTTAAAATAATATATGTAAATAATTAAATATGTGATATACTATGATCAAGGAACTAGAAAACCTAAACGTTGATAAGGTATACCAGCAGATGTCACAAGTTATTATTAACAAAGAAAGGCGGACTATTATCTTTGTTGAATGCATCGATCACGAAGCAAGAATAAGTCACAATGTTGAATGCAATTGTCTTCTTACCCTTCTTTATTTTCTCCACAAGTTTTGGAAACGAGGAGATCCAACAGCTCCTTAGATTCCACTCATCATAACTTTTCATTCTACACTTCTATTCATGTGTTGGCGGATGAATTTACCAACCTTGATCTTAAGGACAACATCACGACACTTGTTGTACCTTTTTGCAAAAAAAAAAAAAAGATATCTATTTTTCTTCAAAAGTAAATTTATGTTAAAATAACTTTACAAATAAAGATGACCATAAATAAATTAAAATAGACGAAAAGTTGAAATATCATCATACATTCAATTTTGGACCCATCACACAATAGCATCCGAGGTGATCCAAGTTCTTGTCGCACACCATGGCTACCGATAATTACAAATCAAACATGAAAAAAAAAAAAAAGGAAACCGAAACCCTCGGAATGAATACATACGCTGGAGGAAACCCCTTGGACAATTCATTTTTTTTTTTCTCTTTATTCACTCAAATCTTAATTACTGATCAGTTGTAGGCAACTGTTCATGGGTTTGGTTAATGAAGAAAAACTCATAGATAAGCCCAGCAAGCCCACCACCAATTAGAGGCCCCGACCAGTAGACCCAGTGGTTGTCCCAGGTCCAGTTGACCACAGATGGGCCGAATGACACTGCTGGGTTCATTGACGCCCCATCAAAGGCCCCACCAGCTAAGATGTTGGCACCCACAATGAAACCAATAGCAAGGGGTGGGCAAAACCCGCCCAAACCGACCCGAACCGACTGGTTTGGGTTGGTTTTTATTTTTTATTTTTTTGGTTGGGTTCCTTTTTTGGCAGGTCAGGTCACGGGTTGGTCCACAAAAACCCGTGATTATTGGTGTAAGAATTTCTGCTAACTAATGATGTGATTCTATCCACATTCTAAGAAACTTCAGGCCTGATTATTGAATTGTGAATTTTAAACATCGGCTACAGTGTAATTTCCCTTAATTTAATTAGGTCACTTCAAATGGTTCAAGTGGATAATATGATTGGTTTAGACAATTATGGTGTCGATATACATTCAGTTATTTGGTCGATGCCGACTAAAATAAACAATACTTACATCATCGTTCGGGAGGTCGTTTGACAACAATTTGTCTACCATTTATATATTTGTTTTCACTTAGGACTACACAATACGGATAAGGACGTGTATCCTTATCCATCGAGACACAAGAAAAGAATATATGGGTGGTTTTTGCTATTAGGATGTGGTTTTATGTGATCGATCAGCCCCTATAAACTCACGGAGTTGCTTGACCTCGAGCAGCCCTTACAACCTTATGGGGTCTACTTTGTCATATACAGGCTGCCTCGAGCTTATAAATTCAGGTATCACAATTTCGTTCACTTCATTCTTTTATGGTTTATTAGTGTCTTGTTTCTTTATTAAAGGGCATGAATGCTTCGAATAAAAATTTGAGTGATGCAATGGGTACATAATTTTTATCTATAGGGGTTCACATAACACTCACATGGGGTGGGGCCCCACCCCATGTGAGTGTTATGTGAACCATTATGGCAAAAAATTATGTACCACTAGCATTATCCTAAAAATTTTCTATGCAGGATCTCTTATCGATAGTGGGTATTCAAGTGCGAGATTTTGACAATATAATTGGTTGGGATAATTGTCATGTTAAATATTCTTCAAGATAGAAATGGCAAATTAAATGCATTGGTGTTGGATTATTATTACCATAGACAATGTAAAAATAATCGCAACTCTAAAATTGATATTTTCTTCTTTGACAGGTACATAAAAGCTTTTCCAGTAATTCAGATTGCCTGGTTAACTTAAAAGTTATAGGGCATTGTCGATTTAAACGTGTGTTCTTTTGTAGGTCTAACTCAAGAGCGAACTCTTATAAAGCTCCAATATTTTGTAATTTTATTTGTTGATAGATCTTGATGCCCCCCAAAGTCAAATTTTTTTTAAGGCCAAAAAAAAAACTATGAATTTTTTTTCTATGTATCTGTCCAATAGAATTTTTTTTTTGTCCCCCCGGCTCTTCCCTTGATTTAGGTTGCCAACATTTCACATGCATGACGGGGTTAACAAGTCGTGACATTGATAATGCCACGGTTGATCGAGTTTTTGCTTATGAAAAATAAGGATAAATCACTTCAATTTAAATTTATATTTGCAATAATGCAAGAGAATTTTGATTGAAGTGTTCCATAAATTTAGGGCTAAACATGGAAAATATATATGTTTCGAGTTATAGTTCTACACAGTAAAGTCTATATGGTGCATGCATCAGTACTAGATTACAATATAAACAAATTGATTCTACAATCTATACAATATAGCTTTAATTACTTAGGTGGAATATTAATGTACGACATTTGCTATCCATGTTCTAACCAATGATTGATCAATTACCATCAAGAGTGGAACTCAAGTAAGTACCCTCTAATTAAAATGCTTCTCTTTAGCTTGACAGATGCACATG